ATGATCTGGTTGAACTGTAAAGTGCCTTGAGATGACGTGTTGTGAAATGGTGCTACATAAATAAACTGAATTGAATTGAATAACAGCTTCACATATTTTCACCATCTTATTTTCTCCATTAACCTAATAGGTTCCTTTTTTGTTACATCTTATAAATCAGTTTTATAATATTTTTTTTTGTATTCAGTCAGTATTTAATACAGATGTAACAATAAAATATTAAAATATAACAAAATACCAAACGCAAATAAACAATATGCAAATGTACCATTTGTCCACCTGCCGTGATAAAATATCAGGCTTTCAAAAAAAGTTGTTGATGTATTCGGAAAGTGAATTTATTCTTGTCCTCAGGAAATAATATTTTTTCTTTCACTTCACAATAATAACATTTGTGTTTTGTTAGCTAAGTAATCACATGAAATATTGAAAAAAATACTATGATGGTGTTTAATTATTTGGTTTAAAATGTAAAACTTTAAAAATGAAAGGATTCATCTATAAGGCGTTGTGTATATCTAAGAATTAAGCTACGGTCAGTAAACTGAACAGGACTTTCTGTAATGTCCACACATCTCTACCAGCCTATATAAATAATAAACTCCACGGCAACATTCATTTACTCAGCAGCTTGTCACTCTGGAATTGGCTTCACAGTTCCTATAATCTCCCAGACAACAAAATCCCCTCCTGCCAAACGCACTTCAACCCGTCTTCCTTCACAGCAGTGTGCCAAATCCATCTGACAGCAGCTGATTCTCCGTCCCTTCCCCGACTTTCAGCCCGGCAGAAATTTCCTGTCGAACAGCCAACTTTTTGACTCAACACTCGTTAAGGGATTTAACCTCCTGTCCTTCCTAACAAAGCACCAAACGCATAGAAATAAAATCTATGTTTGCTTTGTAAGATAATACTAAACATAGAAATATCTAACTCTTATGTAATACCTGATGGTTGAAATAAGTATAACTTAACACTACAAAAATTTTTTCAAACAGCTTCAGTAAGACTGTATAAACTGTAAAAAGGAAGTTTAAAGTCAGTTCTTACCTCTGGTGAGAACTAAGGAAAACAGTTACTTATTGAACAATGTGGTCGTTTTATACCAACCACAGAGGTCTTATCCGTTAAATAAAAGAGGAATAAAAGCTGAAGCAGAGCAATGCTTCATATATGCAGTCCAGAAGTAGAAGCAGGTAAGGAGAAAGTAAAGCGGAAACCCACAAGAGAGAGAAACTGTCAACAACCAATTAAATCCTCCCTGAAAGAAACAGAAGTCCCGGTCATCCTGGTTATCAGCCAATCAGAGCTGATGTCAGATGAGGAATGTGTAACAAGTAGGTGTGCATGTGGGGGAGAGGTGGCGGCAAGGAATGAGATACGGACTTTATGATAACTTAGTGAGCTGGGGTCGTTCAGCTGAGCGTGTGCACTGGAGAGAAAAAAGAAAAAAACAGACGGGAACCAGGCAGCAAGAGCAAGAGTCTGATAACAGCAAATTAAATATAAAGAATTTAAAGACAGACTGTGGAGATCCCAGCTGCCTGAACCAGCTATTAGGCTGATCTGAGCACAGAGGGAACCTGTTGACAACACAGAGCTCCAAGTCCTATAATTATCATGCTTAAGTTTTACAGTCTTGACATTAAAGCTGTTGTGGAAGTTGTCAGTTTTCACAGGAGGATGAGAAAGTGTCTGGGCATGATTTGTCATGAAATAAGCCAAAACAACTTAAGATCCTTAAACGCAGACCATGTAAGCTGAGTCTGTTTTTAAAGTTGGGCTAAAGACTGCCGGGGAGACATTATTGGATCCGAATAACAATTAAAATAATAACATCAGAGGTAAAGTGCTTTATATAGATTCACAAACATTTGAAATGACAGATTATTCAGCTCTGACCTGTAAAACCAGAGATTCCTTGTCTCCTTCTAGTCGAAGCAGTCGTTCCTGATAGGTTTCATTATTGGCTGGAGAACAGCTCACCTGGACACAACAAACGAGAAAGCAACATGCAGATTTATAGGGAGCTTATGGGTGAAACCTCAAGAAAAGCACACAAAGAACTGACTGGAGAAGTTCTGGATTTTTCAAGGTAAAGCTACTGGAAATTTAGCTTTGTTTAACCCGACTGACATGAAACACAAGTTAAGCCATGTTGAGCTCCATTTGATCTCTTGAAATTCAGTCCAATAAGCGGAAATCCAAAAACTGCACCGTTGGGCTCAGACTGAAACCTGACAGGGTAGCCAAAAAAAAATAAATAAATGCAAATGTAAAGTCCGTGCCAAACCTTGCCGATTTAGCCAGGTTATGCCTGACGCCCCAGAATCTTCTAAAACTGTGGCATACAGTACGCTAAACTCTCTATTAATTTTTTTTCAATCTTGGGCGTATACATAGCATATTTATAACAAGTCCAGAACTTATTTCCAAGGACGCACGGCAGCGGCAGTGTGCATGAAATAATGCACAAGCCAGTCTCCTGAGGGGGGCAGCAATGCACCCAGAGGCGCCCGGCCTGCATGAAAAGATTTCTTTGATCACAGTATTAACCTAGCTGCTTTTTAGATTCAGCATGATGCCTGCTAGGTTTGTTGGTTGTGCCTGTGGGCGTGAACGCAGGGAGGATCCATCACACTCTCCTTCACGCTCACCCTATGATGGTGATGAAGTCTGGAGGAGAACTGATGGTTTCCTCCAGTCCTGTGAACCCCCTTTATACCAAAACGCTGCCAGTATGCCATTAAACAGTAGCTGGAAGTTAGAAACACATTCAGTGGTCATCTGGAACACGTCAAATATGTCGATATGCGAAGATCTTGATAAGATCTTGATAAGATCTTGATAAGTTCTTGATAAGTTACGCATAAGTTACGCATAAGTTACGCATAAGTTACGCATAAGTTATGCACAAGTTACTCTTTGGTTTTGGATAAGCTATACATCACGACTTATGAGTAATTTACACTTAACGTATTTTTGCCAGAGTTTTAATACACTAGGCATATGCTGGTTAAATCGTCAGGGTGTGACAGCGGCTTAAGATGATAAGAGATGGTTTGATGACATGAAGCCTTATCAAATGGTTAAATCTGAAAAATGCCAGTCATTCTTCTCAATGTCTTTGAAAGCATTTTGCTTTGAAGAACTTGCAATAAACAAGAAAAAAACAAACATTCTGCATTTTTCTACAAAGTAGCTTCATGCAAATTAAGCTACAGCAGAAATGCAGCCCAATATAAGCTGCCTTTGTCGAAGTTTTTACTTAGACGATCAGCACAATGGAAATATAATTCATACTTTATGAACACATACGTTTTAACTTACATGCTTTTTTTCTTAACCACTACATTTGTCAGACGTTTGAGAAGCAACAGTTATATTTTGGGGATCAGACACTGTTATGAAGTAATAAAGGCCTTTCCCTCCAGGTCTCTTTCCATACATTCCTGGATCTCTGCACATTTTTCTTGCACTTACAGGAAAATCATCTCTACCTGTTGCCTGGGCTACGAAGTAAAACCAATTGCAATGTTTTCTTCTTTTTTTTTTTTTTTTAAATAGTACTTGTCTCATGTCAGAAAGAGCAAGTTGTTTTGTGCCACTAAAAGAGTAGAAGATGAACCGCGGTAGGAGAATGAGAGAGTGAGGAGTGTTCAAAGTGTGGCCTAGGGGGCCATTTGTGAGATTAAACAGTTGTGCATAGAGTGCTATAGGGAGACAGTACAATTACCTGTTTTACTCTGTGCCTCTATGACTTGCGAAAAAAAACAAACACCAACTTAGATGACTGCAGATTTCAGGAGTAATAGAAATAAGTTAAACCCAAAGGAAGTGAGGTGCTGAAGGAGTATAAACAGCTCAGCCTTCATATAAACAGCAGACAGGACAGGAAACGTAACTGTGAAGCCATCTATTTGCTGTTATTAGATTTTGTTTTGTTGTTTCATTTAATATTACTGGAATATTTCTACATTAAACTGTAACAAATCAGATATCCTTAAAATATTATCAAATATGTGGGACAATCATTTTTGTATTTATTATTCAGTAATCTTTGATTCTAAATCCAGACTTTAAAAAAGACTTTTCATGTTAACAAAAATATTTTTCATGCCTTTAGTCATTTGTCATTTTTTATCCCTATGATTTTGTATCAAGTGTACAAAACTTTCCTTAGTACTGATATAGAATTTGCAGTTTTTTTATATTGTGACAACACTAAAAGGGACAGAGCAGCAAGATGCTGATTATCTTCTCTAAGTATGGTGGAGAGAGGGTGATTAACAGCATCAGAGCAAATTGCGTAAAGAAAAAAGGTTGCCTCTGTTCAGGCGCCTCTTCTAAAACCTCTGGATTATTGTACAAAAATAAATTCATGTAATTAAGATCATTATGGATAACCATCAGCATCCTCTTTTTTAGACTGTGTACAACCACAGAGTCTTCAGTCAGAATCTATGGTAAGATAGTCCGCTACAGGAGATCCTTCAAGGTAAAACAAATTTTTCCACTTGCGGTAGAGTGCTTTTATTTTATTTTAAATGCAAAATATTTAACTTTTTTTTTTTTTTTTTTTTTTTACAATTTTGGTCTAAGTGGGTTGTTCTTTCAGCTCAAGTCGTGTTTCCATGGCTGCAAATTCTCTTTACTCTAGTCAACAATTAATCCATTACTAAATCAGTTTATTAATTTTTTTTTTCAATAATCGATTAACCACGATTAATGGGATTGTTAGTCCTATGAAATACAGCAAATATTTACAAAAGAATATTCGCAATGTTATTGCCAAAAATAAAATAAAAAATCATAAAGAAATAAATCATTGATCCAAACATTTAAGGAACCATACAGCCATGTACAATTAAAGCAGACATCTGAGACTCTCTGAAACCTACCATATATAGCTTTTTTTCTCATTTGATTTATGGACCTTGGGTGCCTAAAACTTACCCATTTTGGCCCAACGTGCAAAGAGTTTTAACCCCACTGGTGTTAGCTTTTGGTAAAACTGCATGTAAAAAACAAAAACAAAATAACCAAAATAAAAAGACCATTGGTCAACATGTGCTTTTACTGATGCATGTTGAAAGTCCATGTTCTGACCTGGACTTAGACCACGTTATTGATTAAATCAATATGTAAGAACATATATTAAAAAAAAAAATTAAGATGATTAAAAAAGAAAAAAATATAATATGACAGGGAACTTAAGCACCAACATTAATTATAATTTTAAAAAAAAGATAGTAAAGATAACACAGTTATCTTAAAAGAAAAAAATGGTATTCATGCTGACAGAACATGAATTTGCAAGAGCAATTCATGTGTTTACACCTGTGTACCCTATTTGCAGGCATCTAAACTTTCATTTTTCCACAAATTTTTTTCAAACAAAAAATACATTCATAACATAGAATATCACGATAAATCAAAATTAAAAGCATGAGGCAATATTTCTTTAGAAAGTTGGCAAACAAAGTTATATAGAATATGATTAGTCATTAGTACCACACTGTAAACCCCCTAGTTGTCATCTACTCTGTAGAAACATGGTTATCATTTCAGAAAAATCAACCTGAACCTATGTTCTATTTTCACCCACTTTCAGGGTTACTGTAGGTAAGATAGCCAGCATGTACGCAACAAGCTCACAGAATCATCTCTGTTCAAAGCACATGATGCATTCCTATGAGACATCATCTGACTCATTCAAGTCTCATTTATCTTGAAACAGGCCCCCACTGTCACCCAGGCTTACGATAACATTTTCATAAGACTTCTCTGCTTCTACCTCTGACCTTTCAGTGGAACAAAAAGGGTCTTGCATAAACTGTTATGGATATATTTGAAGCCCTATGGCTAAACAGGAAAAGAACAGGAAAAGAAGCACAATCACGCTCTTAGCTAGACTCTCGGCCGTCTGCCATTTACTCCAGTACAAAAGGAAGAGATGCTCTTGTACACTCAGGAGCTGAAGAAACTCAAACAATGCAGCTACAGTTTTTTTTTGTTTTCAGATTGGGGATCCTCTTCCATCCATCTTTGCTTTTGGTCTAAAGCTGCTTCTTCTTAAATTCTATTATTCAATCGGTTCCTCTGGCAATAAGAAGAAATTAACCTAACAGTCATGTTTTTGAACTGTCAGAGGAAGCCAGGGTACCTGGAGAAAACCCACACATGCACAGAGAGAACATGCATGCTCCTTGCAGGAAGACCCTGGGCTGGGAATCAAACCCGGAACCTTCTTGCTGTAAGGCAACAGTGTTATCAACTGCACCACTGTGCAGCCCCAGCACTAATGACTTGTTTTTTTTTTTGTTTGTTGTTTTTTTTTGTACAGGAAAGGGGGTACAAGATAGGGGCATACACATGCGGAAAAGGACCACAGGTCGGATTCGACCCAGCGTCGGCCATGTCGAGGACTTAGGGCTCCATACATGGGTCATGCGCGCTAACCACTGTGCCACCGAAGCACCCAAGACCCTTTTCCCTTTCTTTATCCCAAATCAGGAAGGATAAGTTGAAATCGGTCATCAACATTATGGCCAGGGAAGTATGAACTCAGAATTGTGCAAAACGTGCACATGCATACTAAATAAATAATACGTGCAGTTCTGCTTAAAGCAATAGTTCAGGTTTTTGAACATCAAGTTCTGTGAAATTTTTACATTTAGTAGCTGAGATGCAACAGAGTCACTAACGTCACAGAGCCTCCTGCTATGAGAAATATTCGGTAACGTTCTGAAGAAGAAGTAGTTTGGATATTGTACGGTTGCGCCGTGAATCAAAGATTCTTAAGCTAGAAAAAAATATGCATGTGTGTTGTTAGGCTATTTGAAGACATCCTGGTGAAATTTCAGATCTTGATGTCAATTATGACAATCACTCTGCCGCATAAGGGCGGAAAACAGTACCTGTGAACAAAAAAACAAAAACAAACAGCTCATCAACGTGCCGAATAGTTACAACTAGTGTTGCGC